ACTAAGGAAGAATAGAGGTACTTAGGATTAGATAGAGGGGAATGAAAGGAGGGGAGGGGTTAAGGGGTAAACAGGATACTAGAATGAATTGGACATTATTACCCTGTGTCCATATATGATTGCATGACCAGTATAACTCTACATCGTGTACAACTAGAAGAATGAGAAGTTATATTCCATTTATATATAACGTGTCAAATGCATTCTACTGTCATGTATAACTAATTAGAAAAACAAAACAAAACAACAACAAAAGACTGGTTCATCTTAGACCAGGAATACTATTTAGAGGAAGAAAATTCATCGAATATTACAAACCTTAATAAGCTTTTCATTAAAACATAAAACAATAATAACAGTGTCTCTAGAATAGACTTCATCACTTAGTACAGAGCAAATATTTCTTGAAATAATAAAGCAGTAAAATTAAGTTATATCAGCCTTTCTCAAGGATATGACCCTTGCCTTGCTCAATTTGATATGAATTATAGAATAGGCATAATATCTTATACAAAAGTAACACTAAAGGATATCTATTAAATAAAAAATATACTTTTTTAAAAACTATGTTAACATGAAATTGATACAATTTTAATTTGAGATGAAATGATTGCAAAATAATTTCTTGTCTATGAAAAGATAAATAGGAGCACTGTGTTCTTTTTACTGAAATACAGTTAATGTGTCCCATAACCAGGTTTCCGTGAAAGATGAATCACATATATGATGGTGGTCCCATAACATTATATTGCCCAGTGACATCATAGCCTAAGTTTAGTTTGTACAAGTACACACATGATGTTAGCACAATGATAAAATCATAAAATGGCACATCTCTCTGTATCTCCATCATTAAATGATGCATGATCAAACTACATCAAATCATAAAACTATATTATAAATAAACTATTCTAAAACCAACTGTTAATAAAATGCATACATCAAAATTAAGGGAATATATATAATTTGTAAGATTATGCTTCACTCTGAAAGTGAAGTAAAGAGAAAGAAAAAAATTAAAGATAAATAAAGATATAGTTCTTTTGGAAAAAATGGTTGGGTTCCATATGAGAATAATCTACGATACTATTTCCAAAAGGAAAAAAATATTTTTTTTTGATAATTATACTCTTGCAGATTTAATTTATGTGAGAAGGTCTTGATTCTCTCCTCATTTTTGAAGGACAACTTTTCTGGATATAGAATTTTTGCTTTGACAGCTTATCATATGTTGAATATGTCATTCCACAGCCCTCTGCACCCCGCTGTTTGTAATAAAAAATAGCCATTAATAATATTGAGTATTTATTTTATATGATGATAAGTTTCCCTCTCAGTGCTTTTAAAATTCTTTTTCTTTGGCTTTGGATCGTTTAACCATGGTTTACTGATGGATTTGTTTGAGTTTCTTCTACTTATGTTTGTTGAACTTCCTAAATATGTGTTTTAATGTCTCATCAAATTTGGAAAATTTTTATGCATTAATTTTTTTGAATTTTATTCAGATCCTTCTGGCCTCTATTTCCTGCTACTCCCATTATATCTGTGCTGTTCCTCCAAGTATCTTATTTTTTTTTTACTTTTCCTCATTATTTTTCCTTTTACTTTCTCTAATTGGATCTCAATGGTTCCATCTTTCAGTTTATTGATTTTTCTTTCACCATAATCTGCGGATAAGCCCCTGTAATATATTTTTATTTCAGTTTTGATATATATTTCAACTCTAATTTCTTTTTTTAAGTATTTTCTATCTCTTTACTGACATGTTGAATTAGAAGAAACATCAATCTTATACTTTTTTCAGTTCTTTGGACACATTTTATTTTAGTTCTTTGAACATATTTTAAATTGCTAATTAAAGCCCTTCTCTAATATGTCAAATATCTGGGAATTCTCAATATAATTATATTGGTGGATTTCATCTTGTGTATTGATAAAATTTACTTATTTATTTACATGTCTCATGATTTTGTACTGAAATCCAAGCACATCAAATAATACAATGTGTCAATTCTGCAAGTTATATTCTCCCCTTATTGCAGGGCTCATTTTTGTTTGCTTATTTAACAACATCACTAAAGTAATTCTGTAAAACCTGTATTCTTTATCATGTGTAGCCATCAAAGTTGTTGTGCAATTTTATTAGCAGTTAATTGTTGGACAGATATTGAAAACAAAACAAAAAACCTCAGACCAATAAGTGTGTTTTGCCAGAGTATGTTTTTCAATTTTCTCATGACTTTTACTTAGGAAAAGAGCTGGGAAGCTCTTACTCCACAATTTTTGTTATTATCATTCACCTAGGATTATGTTGCTTATCTAATCATACTTGACACAAGCTACTCAAAATATGTTAAAAGTTAAAATACATATATATATATATATATATATATATATATATATACACACACACACACAGATATACATATATATCATTATAATTGTATTCACTGCAAACACTCATTTTCTTTAAATAAATTTCCATTATCTCACATTTAAATAACATTTAAAAACAAATATAATGTGTAGATACCACACATCTTCCTCACAGTTTGAAAACTATATACCATTCAACTCTTCTAAATTAACTAGTCTTTCTTCACTATTAACATCAGATATGTCTAAGGAAGCATCATGCATAAAAGGTTACAACAATCTTTAAAAAGATACATATTGTTTAAAAGACTGAAAAACAAAAACAGCACCAATCCAACAATTAGGAAAAAAAATAAAGAAAAACAAAACACACAGTAGTTGCAATGTTTGGAAAAAACTGAGCACTTATACAGAAGAATTTTATTTTTATAAACAAATCATTTACAAAATTGCATAATGTCCCCGCAAATTCCTAGTTGCAAGTGCAACCATACCAACGTACTTTAACTCTCATAGGTACAGTCTGTCAAAGCTTTTTTTGAATAACTTCTGAGTGGAAACATGAGAAAAACAGAAAACTAAATTCAAAGAGAATATGTCATATTTTCTCAGAATTCTAAAGAAAAATAATTTTTAATATGTCAGCCATCTTATTAGAAAAAGCATTTAAAATACATATTCAGTAAAATATTTTTGACGTATAAAAGTATGGAGTACAAAAATACATTGTTAAGTACTTATTGATCATTGTTAGCCAGCATCTCTTTCTATAGGGGTGATGAAAGTAAAAACAAACAAACAAACAAAAAAAAAAAAAACAGAACTCAAGAACAGGCAATAAGAAAAAAAGGAAAGATTACAAGAAAGTTAAAAAAAAGGAAGATCCTTAATGTAATATATACCATTAAGTTGACACTGACTATATCTGGATCACACATTTTTTTCTTTAGTTGCATAAAAAGTTCTTATACCTTAACACTCTACTAGTATTAACTTTTTACATCAAAATTCTAAATGCAACCATAACTTTGTTGCAGAAGTAGGGATTGAACACAGGACCCTGTACATGTCAGGCAAGCTTTATACCACTGAATTAACATCCCCAGAACATAACTATAATTTTTAACAAGAGAAAAGAAATTCCAGATTAGTGAAATAAAAAGAACACATATTGAATAGATGTTAACATATAATTATGAGTTAAAACAATACTACTTGTTTTACTTCCATAAAAATTTTCTTAGTACTGATAAGTATACCTTAGGACTGATTAGTATACCTGATTTTCTCAGTGATTTGAAAAACAAAAGTAAACAGTTTGGGTTCTTGGTATTGATATTTGAAGGTTGGTTACATTCCCTTACTTAAATTAAAATTAACCTTCCACATCATGTAAAATAATTTTAGTGTATATAATTTTTAAAGCTGATTGCATATATATTATAGTAAAAGTTTTAAATGTTCAAATTGTTTAAATGTTTTTCTTTAAATGAGGATTAAAAAATGTTATTTGTCTTTGTGATAACAGTTTGTTAGATTGTAACTACAGATAGCAAATGTTAAAATATTTAGTTATTAGTTAATACAAAGTTCCGTTTATATTGTTTTTAATGTAATATTCATGAAATAGATTTAATATTTTCAGTATAATATGATTTCATATGATATTATTTTTCTTATGTTTTCATATTGTACCTAATAGTACGGATATGTATTTAATTAAGCAGAAAAAAATGAAGTACTTAATATAATCTATGAAGAAAGATTGTTAGTATTAAAAATGTTATATGCATATACAAATATTATATACTGATATACGCTATTCTATATGATTTTTATATACCCAAAAAAGGAAGAAGAAAATTTCATTTTCCAAATAAAATTTTGTATTATTCCAAGTTTTACAGAGTAAATCTGTCAGATCTAACATACTCTGTCTGCTTACATTAAGAATTACAAAGAATTTATATACCAAGAAAAAATACTTTGAGATTTAAAAAGACTTTTCTAATTTATTTTACACAAAATATTAATTTGTAATATGCACCAATGAAGTAGAAAGCATTGTTAATTATAATAATCTTCCAATAAAACCATCTTTACTAAGCAATTTTCAGTAAAGAAAAATTCAAAATTGGAAAACAACCTCTGAATGCGGACCTAGCTGATAATCTGAAAAACATTTTAATTAATGGAATTTAGATGAATTTCCTATAGAATTTTCATTCCATAATTCTGCAAATGAAAAAAAAAATGGTTCCAGGTTTGATTTAACAATGATTTTATACATATTAAATTTTATTTCCTGTACAATATAACCATTATAAGGCAATTCAGCAGAAAATTAAGTCCATTTTATATATAAATTAATTTTAAAAATTTGTTACTTACTTCAATGTTAAAATTTCCTGATGCTTGAACAACCTTTGTATCTTTTTATGGAGAAAAATACTAAGAGAGGAATATAATATAACTGATATTCATTGATTTGAAACTTCTTTCCCTATCACAATTCCCTTCTGTCTTAAGGAGCATATCCAGTGAAATTTCAACCTCCTGTGACTTTTAGCAATGATACATATGCATTTAGTTTAAGTTTAGGGGAAAATTTAATAAGATCTTACCCCATTTTTTGGAAAAGCAATCCATCCCAGGTCCCCCATAACAGTGCGTGAATCCAATAAATTCACTGAAAGAGAAATAACAAAAAGATGAGTGAAATATATAACAACAACAATAACAACATATCTGTATCTCTATTTTGATAGTGTTAGTATGGTGATGCATGCATACCCAAGATTACAGCAGCACAATTCATAATAGCCAAACAATGGCACCAGCATAGGTGTCCATTAACACATGAATGGATAAAGATAATGTGGTACATACACACAATAGAGTTTTATTCAACCATAAAGAAAAAATGAAATGATGTCTTTTGCAGAAAAATGGATGGAACTAGAGACCATTATGTTAAGGAATAGGTCAAATCCAGAACGTCAAGGGTCATATATTTTCTCTCATATGTAGAAGCTAGAGAGGAAAAAGAAAAATAATTCAGAGGGAGATAAGTAGAGGAAAGGAACCAAGGGGAGAAAATTGGGGAAGGAGCGGGGGACATGCTGGGGAGTGATATGGACCAAAGTATATTGTTATAGTGTGTACATATATGAATATGTAAAAAAATCCCATCATTACATTAAAAACATGTAAAAAAGAAAAGAACAGAAAAACATACACATTTATTGTGTAACTGAAATTAGATTAAGCTTTCATTGTGATGATCACAAGAGGTATAGTTTGTAGAAAATGTCATTGGAATATAAGAGAACAACTTATTTTCAATAAACAGAGAACATTTACAACAAAATATAAAAGGACACCATTACCTTAGATATTTTTTGCCAAATAAATGAAAAGTAGAAGATCAAATAATAAGAAAAATAAATAAATAAATGCCCACAAAAACTTTAGGACCATGTAGCTTGGCTAAAGGCACAATGTTTGGGGATTAAGCCACTACCATAAAATTGCAGCTAAATACACTTTATCTTCTTATGGAAAGTGCTTATGAAGCAATTAACAAATAATTTACATTATACAGCAATGAACTATTCCCAAGCTTATAACAGTGTGATATTATCTGAAATCTGTAATACAAATTGCAAGTTTAATTAAGAAATAAATCTACACACCCTTAAACAAGACAAGAAAACGATAGGAGTTCTTGGGGTTGTTGCTATAGTTAAGAGTCCACTGCATCCCTAAAGATGTCTTCTACTTAGATGTGACTAGAGTCTAAAATGTGCTTCATATAAAATCTCTAATCTGTTATATCTGGAAAGCCTAAGATACTTAGGAATTCCAGAGTAGCAATCTAATATCATCATTATAAAGGAAGCCATGGGTGAGTATATATGCAGACATGCACACAAACTTACACACAGAGATACACACACACGTACATACATACATATCCACATAGTCCTTGTACGCTGTCCCTGGGAAATCTTACTAGTTTAAAGAGAACTATCTAATCAAATGCTTTAGAACTGGGTCATAGTTCATTGTCTAAGTTATTATATTTATCTCATATGAATGCATTTGGCCCACTGTACAACTGACTAACTTTGCATGAACATGGCATATGAATCCAAAAGGGAACCACATGGGTTATTCCTGGTAAGAAGTAGTGCAGTTTCATAAACCACATTCAAGAGCCAGAATCTTCAAAACATTGATTCTAAACAACAACAACAAAAAAAATTCTATCTGCCAATATAAACCTGGGGAACAAAAGAAATTATAGTTGATGGACTGGAAAATTTGTTGTCACACTTTATAAAAGAATATAAGATAAAATCATGACTGAGAATATCATGATCAAAATTAAAACTGAAATTTTGTACATGCTATAAAATGTATACACAAATATTTAGTCTTTATTATGCATCATTTTATTACAGTAGCCCAAATTAGTGGGCAAAGCAGTACGTTCGTGAATGTAAATCTTAAAAACTAAGTTAAAATTCCATAATAATACTAGTAACATTAAAATTAATGAGTAATTTAGAATTCTAGAACACACAAAATATGCTAGTGTGGCGGAGGTTGTTATTGTTGTTCAATATATTTGTTTATCTCTATCACTACTTTTGAGTTCTTCAACTACAGAAAATATATACTAAATAATGTTTGTATCACTTTGGTGTACTCAAAACATATTGCCTTCATGGAACAATAAAATCATTTGTGGAATTACTAATTCCTTAAAAGAAAGATGTCCCAAATGAAAAACCACTGTTTATTACCACAAAAACAAAAGCAAATCAACCAAAATTATTCTACTACTCTCTGAAATTGCAGATTCTATGAGTCAGGCCACTTCATATAATTTTTCAGTGAGATCCATATTTTTTCTTTTTGTTCTATTGTTGATTTTTCAGCTCTCTGTGGGAATAGGCTACATTAAACATAAATGTCCTTGTCCTCATTTTAGTTTTCTGGGACACTAGGGCTGTGTCTAGACATGACTAAGTACCAGGGGAGTGCAGAACCTAAATTGTTATGTTTATTCATTTTAATGATTCATTTGATTCATCTTTGATATTGAGCAGCAGTGTATCAGTGTAGATTAGATAAAGTAGAGCAAATCAGCAAACTAAGGGTGTTACTGTGACAGTAGTCAAATCAAATTTAATCCTGTGGTGGCAAATTGATGTGCATAGGAATTCCAGGAATTTGTAACTGGCCAGCCTGGTGAAACTACATGTCTTGTAAGTCTCTTAATAATATGTGAATTTGAAATATTCCCTATTACAAACAAAATTCCAAATGTCTTTTCAAAATTCTTTTATTGTCATCACTTGAATTAGCTTATAATCTACATGTTATTTTTATTTTATTTTATTTTTTTGGCTCAACACAGACAGGAAGTAAATCGATACTGAAATACACTACAAAATACATGAAAAAACTACAATAGAATTATATTCAATCTCATGATTTTATCAAAATGCTTTCTTGAGATAAATACATTAAATTTTTGTTCATAAAGTGCAGACTAAATGCTTTAGACCTGGAATAGTTCATCATATGTCTCAGAGAAAAATAATTAAAGTTTATATATAAATTTAAATATATATTCATAACTTGCTATATATCACTTAACTATATTTAAATAAATATGTTTATTTATCTATTTATTACTTACTTATTTTACCTCTGGGCTTTGAACAAGACTCTTAAGCTTTCTCAAATGACCTCTCCCTTCTTGAATTGCTAACTTTTTTCCTTCAAGATGAATTTCAGGAATTACCATTTTCAGGAAGCCATCACTGATCCTCAGTTTCCTACTATAAGCTAGCTATTACTACTGAATACTCTATTGGAACTCCAGGTTTGACACATGTCCATGAACTTACTTTGAGCTCCAAGAGCTGAATGGCTATATTTGCCTTATGAATGAATCATCTGTGCAATGGGCAGATCAAGAGGGTGTGGCTGATTCAGCATGCACCTGTGTTTCTTGACATTGATACTTAATAACATCTGGAGAGGACTACAATCTAGGGGAGGGGGAAAGGTATTTCCCTACTAGCATTTAAGGGGAAGAAGCGAGGCATAAACCTAAACATTCTGCAATACACCACAAATTTACCAGGAAACAATATTCTGACCCAAATTTCACTAGTCCAAAATTGAGAAGCCCTGGTATATACCTATTGATGCTACTAAAAAAAGATCTATTCTTTCACCTTTTTTTTTTTTTACAGTACAACATTAGCAGGATCTTCATTAACAGAAGGTACCATATTGGAAATATAAGACCCCAAATTTTTAAGAAAATAAAAGTAATAAACCCATTTTCATTTAGTAAAAAAAAAGTAATAAAACAATCTTAGTTTTATTTAGGGAAATAGAAAAACAGTATTTTAACCACATAATTATATATTAATTTTTCACAAAACCAGTGCAGTTATTACAGGTGTTCATATTTATTCATCAACATTTATGCTTCTCAACATTCATGATGGTGTATGGGAAAAACAGTCTGTCACTGATGTCATTAATGCCTCCATTTCCCCTACTAATTACATAATAAAAATAGAAAATAAAATAAATATAAAATTAAAAATATGAAAATACAGTTACAAAAAAATAATTTACAAGGTATATTTAAATGTGAATTTTCAAAACTTTATTTCCAAATTGTACTACCAAATTTATTCAAAAAAAGGGAATTGGCAGTAATAGAGTACAACCACTAAGTGTCTTCTGTGCTACAATTACAGTAATTAAATTGTTCTGAACAGTATATATGCTTGTTGTAAATTGCAATGAATACAAAATGAGTATTGATCTTCATTGTACAACTTAATTAAAACTTGTCCGGGCAAAGCAGCTAATGAATATAATTAGAGGAAATGTTTGATACCACAGTTACTCTGGAAGACATTAATTAGATACCAGAAATTTTATGGAAAATGTTTTTATTCTATTATTTATATTTTAAAATGGAGCCACATGATTAAACTGAGAGGCAGCCTTCAATGTCATTTTCCCTCAGCTATCTATCTTATAATCATGATGGAAATGGGTATAATTGTTGGTATTCTAATCAGTAACTAAGAAGATTCATTTTCCAGAAAAAATAACTCTACAGGGGTCAGTGAGTATGGGCTGTATTGCAAATTCCTAAAGTTTATATATAGGAGTGAAAAATTCACATAGGAACTGTGTTAATAAGTAAAAGTCATTTAACTATGGATGCAAACAAATAATAAATTGTAATGGAAACTAATTCTAGCTAATCATAAGTACGTTTTAATTTTGTTACTATACACCATTAATTTTAATTCTTTCTCAGACAAGAAAAGCTTTGAAAGAATTTGCTTTCAGAATAGGCAAAGAATTGTTATCAGTCTTTGATGGGAATCAAGGGAAACAAGAAGCAAATGAGCACAATGGACTCAACTTCACTCATTCCAATGATTTCTCTTTTCTGGATAATTCCAGTTAATGATACAAATATGCTCTTCATGATTATAACTCAAACATTCATAACTTACTGCATAACACTGTGATCACAGTGCTTTTCTCTTAACATCTTGCTAACATTAGTCACTAAGAACGGGAAAACATATTGGATTCCCCAGGACAGAGAGACACCAGAATGAATGTTTTCAC